ACCCTGGCCTTTCTTCTATGTCCAAGGCCAGGGCTTTCACACCACTGATGTATGATTGAGAGTGTTCGATTGCAGTCTGAGTCAGGTCAGAGTCAGTCCATGTGTATCAACTCTTCCGCGGTATTTGTATTAACTCTGTATTATCTGGTCAATTCTGGAAATCTGCGCCATACTTATGACTGTGTTTCACGAGTATGCAACACAAGGAGTGGGCTTTTATTATAATCAAGAGACTCCAACGTTGGCAATTCTTGTGCTGATGTGATTGTTTGCTTTACCGTCTTCCCCCAAATAGAATGTAGATTGTACGGTCATAATCACTGTATCTAGACTGGAAGTTGCCCCAGAGACAGCTATAATGGCCCTACGTTCTATTCTGGGAAAGACGGTAATTGCCTGGTTGCCATATGCACACTGGTCAAGAGAGATCCATGTGCTTGCAATTTGTGCTTGCACATTTGAGAAAGAACCTCATAATTTTCTCTGCTTCGTTGAAAAGCAGACTAGACTCTCTTCACATATTTGCTTGCCGGGAAGAAGTGGGCCTGGGGTCACATTCGGAGAGATGGGAGTAGAATGACCTAGTGTCTTTCACCTCAAGAAGAAAAAGAGTATTTTGCGATGTTTTCCTCTACATTCCACGTTTTGTCTGAGAAATCCATTCTTGATGCTACTAACTCTCTGTGGATTGCTTACTGCTGGCTACCGTCTTCACCCGGATAGAACGCCCTGTCATTATCGCCATATATGGTCTGCAGATTGGACCAAGTACAGCGATAATGGCCGGGCATTCTATTCGGGTGAAGACAGCAGTGAATTTAAGCTCCAACCCTGCTTCCGTAGGTAGGTGGTGTGTAGTCTCTTTGACCCTAAACCCTGTAGATGGCCTCCGAATGTGGAGCTGGATTCCTTGCTGGTTGGGTTGCCGTGCACCTTGCAGGTCCGGAAGGTGGGTAGACCAGTTTGAGTACATAGCCCGAGGTAGGTAGTGTGAGATGGAAAGATACGGAGAGAAGAAAATAGCAGAGCAAATGCAGATTTCCAGGTCATTTCCCCCCATATGAGGGAAGGTCAGCCTGCATTCTTTTGGGAAAGAAATACAAATAAAAAACTCTGTGTCTGCATGGTCTAGCCTAAGTCTCAAATCACTAGCGGTTAATGGAAGGCCAAAACATTCTGGGTTTTTCGCCGCGTCGCTACAAGCGCTAAGTTTTTTGTTAGTGCTCCAAATACGGCGAAACTGAATACAGATATACCTTAACGCACATATATAACAGGCAAAAAGAAAAACCGAGAAAAGAGTAAAAATTCAAGGAAATATGGCAGTTTCAGTGAAAAATTCGCCAGCATTCGCCGAATTTTGGGCCTTCCATTAACCGCCTCTCTCAAGTTTATACCTGCAAAAGCGGCAACTTGGAGGGTCGACATCTACGCTACCCGCAAGATGGCATTTTGTGCCAGGCCTGTTTGGGCGAGGTCGCCGGTTCGAATCCGTGCTTGCACAGGTGGGGCCTTGGGCTCAGATGTGCGGATCTATAACTACTGTGTCAACCCAGTAGGTGCTCTGCCAACTGCAGCAGCGTTCCCCGTCTCACCAGGTGCGGGACAAAAAAAAATTGGGGCGAGAGGCAGTTAATGGAAGGCCCAAAATTCGGCGAATTTTGGCGAATTTTTCACCGAAACTGAAGAAGAAGAAAAAGAAGAAGAAGAAGAAGAAGAAGAAGTCCTGTGGAGGAGGAGAAGAAGAAGTCCTGTGAAGAAGAAGAAGAAGAAGAAGAAGAAGAAGAAGAAGAAGAAGAAGAAGAGGAAGAAGAAGAAGAAGAGGAAGACAATGAGGAAGAGGAAGAGGAAGAGAAGAGGAAGAGGAAAGAGAAGAGGAAGAGAAGAGGAAGAAAGAAGAAGAAGAAGAAGAAGAAGAAGAAGAAGAAGAAGAAGAAGAAGAAGAAGAAGAAGAAGAAGAGGAAGAAGGAGGAGGAGGAGGAGGAGGAGGAGGAGGAAGAAGAAGCAGAAGAGGAGGAAGAAGAAGAGGAGGAGGAAGAAGAGGAGGAGGAGGAGGAAGAAGAAAAAAAAGAAGAAAAAGAAGAAGAAGAAGAAAAAGGATGATGATGAGTAGGAGGAGGAGGAGGAGTATACTACCTCAATGATGGTCCAGGTGTAATTGCCTGTGGGTCGCCTGCTGGCAGGTTGGTTCTGACTCGCTGCATACGTGGGACCTGTGAGCATTCCTCCTGTGCCTTGGAGATGAAGCTCTCCAAGCCTTCCATCTCGCAGAGGGAAAAACATTCTCCATGGACTTAGGAGAACCCCAGGTACATCAGGCATCACAGAATCATCACCTGGGCTGCCATGCTTTAACCAAGCTGCTGCCACTGCGCCACCAGCTGATTGCTGTTTTCCCAAGCTCCCTACCCTTGACTTCAAAGGACTGTACTCCCAAATTGCTCCCTGTTCAGAGGACAAGAACAGTGACGGCCCTTTGCCGTCGTTCTGATCGCTGGGAAGCACAACCCCTAAGGACCGGCTGATCTTCATGTCTGCAGGAGCCTTGTGCAACAGCCATCGCCATGCAGATCCCCGATTGAACCGCTCCACCAGCATCCCCTCCTGCAGCACACATTTGCAACATTGGTATTTGTTCGATGAGGGAAAAGAAGGGGAGAGGGAACACCTTCAACACACACGCGCACGCACAGATACAGGGAAGAGAGAGAGAGAGAGAGAGAGAGAGAGAGAGAGAGAGAGAGAGA